GTGTTGTGAACCCACCGGGTCCGGGACACGAACCGCGGTCGACTACGTGGGAGCCCAGCGACATAGCCATTACGCTAACTGCTGGTTCCCGTGATTTCTTTTCTTGGCCTAAATAAATGCCGGCTTTCAGGCCTGCTTGGGTGCCTTCTGCACCCCTCCCAGGAGGCACGGAACGGTGACCTGCAGGAGTAGGGGTTACTCAGCTGTGGCCTGGAGCCCAGGCCATGTGCGGAGGTCTCGTGGGCAGTCAGGGGCAGCGGGCAGAGGCCAGTTCGGCATCCACGTGTCCCCAGTCTCACTCCTGCTCCTCGTAAGCCAGCAGGACAGTCCTGGCCCCCTGAGGCCCGTCTTCCAGCACTGGTGATGGAGCCCGAGTGCCCACACAGCAAAACCAGCACACGGGCCTGGGGTGTGTATAGACCACGGCTGCACCCCACTCGGACTGTACAAACTGCCTGCCTCCATACCAAGCGCCCAGAGCCCTCTGCCTGGGCCTCTCCGCTGGGCCGCACGCAGGAAACGGAGCTTGGGGCTCCCACCAAACACGCTCGCCTGGAGCCAAGTTGGGTGCAGGCAGTGGCCCTGACTCGAGACCCTGTGAGCTGCACACAGGGCCCGCCAGGGGCACAGGGCCACACCCAAGTGACGGGAACTGGGGCGACACCCACTGACGAGGCCACGGGACCGCCACGGCCAAGGCAGGGGCACCAGGTGTCGGCCCCACCGCTGCTCCTCTTGCTCTGCCTGCCGGGAGCGGGGGTGGCATCGCAGAAGGCTGTGGGCTCCTCGGGCGAGCGGGGTGTGGCTGCTGACCGCTGACGCCGGCAGGGACTGGGGTGGCTGGCCCTTTTGGATTCACAATGACCTTTGACCTTAACATCTTTGCTGAATCCAGGGGCAGGTTAGGTCAAGGGCACCTCTCTGCTGGCTGCCTCTGCCCTCCCTACCCTTGGCAGGGCCCTGGTGAGGGGCGCATTCCACCCTGCAGGCCGCGGTTTGCCAGCACCCACCCAAAGGGCTCCGCTGTGGCTAGAGCCCTCGCAGAGAGGCTGCAGCCCATCAGCAGTGCCGAGCTGTGGGTCACGGCCCCGGGGCAGGTGGGGCCGTGGTCCGGTCGGGGCAGGCTGCCGCGCAGAGCCCAGAGTCCCACCCAGCAGGCACCTTCCAGTGGGTCTCACCCTGCACCTGACCCGCCACAGCTCCAGCCTCATCCTGAACACCGTGTGCTTTCCTCGCTGCCAGACACAGCCAGGCCCCGGTCACAGTCCGGTCCCCAAGGGACGGGCCGCCAGGCTCTGCCTGGTCTCCAGGTCCTGTCACTGTTCCATGCATGGTGTCCCTCTGCTGGCAGGAAGCAGGGACCGGGGCTACTGTCTCTGCCCGGGGCTGGGCCCACAGCTCCCGAGCCTTTCCCCAGCACTGAGGGCCGGCACCACAGGAGGCTGCCGGGGCCTCGGGACCTGGGCCAAGCTGCGGCTCCTTCTAGATGCAGTGGTCAGATAGCACTGCCTTCTCCTGTGACATCGCCAGAGGCCATGCGGCCACCAGGGATCAAAAGACCTGTGCCCCGGGAACCAGCAGTTAGTGTAATGGCTATGTCGCTGGACTCCTACGTAGTCAACCGCGGTTCGAGTCCCGGACCTAGTGGCTTAAACTCACGCCAGGTGCATGTGTGTGCGTGCCCAAGATCCCGAGGAGAATGGAGGAGAAGGGATTGCGGCGTGACCATCCCCCCTG